ACCGGAGTGCCCTGGGCCGCCCCGCATCGGCGCCCGGGGTCGGCCGCGCCCCGCCGGGCACAGCCCGGGCCGCGCCTGGGGGCGGCGGGAGGGGCGGCTGCGCTGGGACCGCTCCTGCGGGGGTGCTGCTTCCTTTTCCCGCCCTCCTTTTTGCCCCCCGCTTTTTCCCTTTTTTTAACGGCTTCTAGTCTTCCCCTTTCTCTCTTCCCYTCTCCTTCCCTCCCTCCYTTTCTCTCTCTGGAGATTTCTCAAGAAACGCGCCGACCCCAGCGTGCATTTGTGCTCACTTTGTGGCTGTGATTCTTCCTGCAGAAACGCGGGGGGAGAGCAGCCTTTTCTTGCGGGGTGCTGGAGGTAAAGCACTTTGGTTTTCCAGCCCTGAAATACACATCCACGATTCTTTCGCTTTTTGCCTACGGTAAAAGGCGGTTCCTGGGTGGTTGGATGTAGCACTGGGTGAAGGAAGGCATTGTTTGTGCTCCTAGGGTCAGGATTTGTAGGAGTGGGGTAATCAGAACCAGGGGTGTTCTCTTTGATAGCGCTTAAAGGATGGTGAGAGCATGGTGAGATGACACGGCTGAAATTCAGGYACTTGGTCTGCAGTGGGCATAGTGCAGTGGGTGATGGGAGCCATCACCCAGGGATGCAGAAATTGAAAATTTTGAGGCTGAGTGGCCCAGATAATTTCCAGTTCGGGCCCTCTTTATGGGRAACAGGACGTGTATGTGAGCAAGGTGCTGGGTGTTGAATGGAGCATTGTAGTTTTTGTTTCCTTTTTGTGTTTCACWTGGGTGTTCTGTAAATATGTTCTTTGGTGGAAGGTCTTGGACTCTGYGTTCAAGGAAGGACCATTTCTCCTTGTTGCCCTGATTATTTGGGTTAGATAGATTCGTACTGGAAATCAGCAATATTTGCAACAGAAGGAAGAGGGTTGTAATTTTTAAGAATTTTATTTCTTGTGCAATGAGGCACCAGGCCTACTCTGTGTCTCATCTTAAAGAGCTCTGCTCAGACAAGAAACTGCATTTGAAGGGGCAGGAAACAGGACATGATCTCATTTGTCCATGTATGAGAAACAAAAGGATTGACCTTAAATACTGAYTGCCAGGAGCTGTATGTGGCTGTCAGTTTTGGTTTGAATTTTGTAGTTTAGAGGATTTTTATTCCGTGTTAATTTTGTGGTGTTAAATGCAGTTYTGCCACAGCCTTCTTAGGACTAAARAATCTCAAAGTTTTGGGAGTTGTTTGAACTGGTTGAATGTTCAGTGGAAAGGTGTTTGGTGGTGATGTGTGCTTGAGAGGTGGCTCTTTAAACTGAAGAGCTTGCTTCTCTCCTAGGCCAGTACTTGGTGAACAGGATTGAAGCTTCTGCTACCAAAAACTCTGCCTTGGTGTGTGGGTATGTTCCTTGTATTAAGTTCTTGGCTTTTGTAAATAATAGCCCATAAAATATGTATAAATTAATATGCAKTTGCTTCTGTGAGTCTTGCTAACATAAATACTCTGTCTTGGCAGCTTAGTAGCAATTTATAATATCTTTGCTCTCATTTAGACTTTCCATAATGGGAATCCTAGTTTTTTTGTAGARCAAAGCAGTTAGATCAGTCAACAGTTTTAACCTGGACTCCTGGTTCAATGGTACAGATTTATGGGATGCATGTTCCATAGGTCCTGTTTCTCCACATCCTGGAGTGTGCTAGGGAAAGTGAAACAGGCTTCAGTGAGCAGGGACAAGATGATGCAATTCAGAAGGGAGCTCCTGTGTGGGTTTGGGGSTGTGTGAATGAACGCTGGATGCCAATTAAGAGAAGGAAGGTAAGTCAGAGCAGCGATTATGTTGTATGAGGTTTGCTTCAGCCAGGTGTCCTATGGTACTGGAAGTACAAGCCCTTTGTTCCAGACTGTTCTCCAGGTTAAGGAACGRGAGGGATGTGAGAGTGGAGGGAGCATAGAAAGCTTAGACTAAATACCATATAAGGGATGGTGTGGATAAAACGAGGAGATAAAAATCTTGCGGAAGAATTAAAGCCTTGCACAGTGTGCTCTTGCAGAGGAGTAAARCCTTGTGTAGTGGTTTGGGGATGTGAGAGGAGGAAAAACACTCCTTTTCCTTCTGCTGAACGAGGAGCAGAGCATCTTCAGAGACTCTACAGTAGTGGAGGGTTTGAGGGGGAAAATCTCCACCCTGAAAATGCACCACCTTCCCACTAGTTGAGGATGGATGTTGGGCTTGTAATGACGGGACTGCCGGTGGTGTTTTACTGGTAGAACCAGTTCATCTTCTGTAGGAAATTTTTCCTTTGCTCAGCTTCATGCTCCCATTGTTTTTTGGGTCTGGGTTTTACAAAACCCAGCAGAAACTTAYGGGTGAAAGCAGGTGTAAAAATAAAAGCTGAAATTTGTGAGGAGATGGGAGAAAATGATACTCTGGGTATCGGTGAAATGAAAATGGAGTGCACAGGAGTCTTAAAAAATGCATCAAGAGCAGAGGAAGATGAAGTCCTAATAAAAATCAGATGAAGACAGCTTTTATGTCTATGAAGAACAGGCTAACAGAAATAGACTGTTTTTATTACAAATACCTCAGCCATTACATAACATTCTAAGTAAATGCTAACAAGCTCGTCTGTTACAGATTGCAAACACATACTGAAGGGAGAAACTGTTTAACATTCACATTGTTCATGGTTTAAATTATCTGACACTGTCTTGATTAACGGCAGAATTAAGAGTGCAGAATCAACATTTCATGTCTTCAATCTGAAGTATGATGGTGATAAATTTGAACTGATATGTATTCAAAAATAAGACATTCTTTTCAGGGTCTTCCAGCATCAGAGACAGGGATGACCACACTTTATGTTCAGGTACAACAAATACACTAGTACTGCCTGAAGTGCTGGAGCATCATCCAGTCCTGGGTAACTGAGAGAAGWGGGTTCTGTTAAATACCAATTTAAATCAATGTATAGCTGATTCCTAAGTGAAATGGCAGC